TATGCTAACACTCCTTAGCTATAGTGGTAACTTATGCTAACACTCCTTAGCTGCAGCGGTAACTTATGCTAATGCTCCTTAGCTGCAGCAGTAGCAGGCAGGATGGCAGGTTCATCCACACATTACATTTAGAGCCACCTCTTCCGCCGAGGATGACCAGGAGCGTCAAAGTAAATTGGGGGTCGTTAAACTTTTTAAATGTTTTTTCCGTATTCAGGATGAAATCCACCTTTTCTCAATCTATCTGGTAAAATCCCAGTAAATCATGTTTGAATGGTTTCAAAGGTCACTCATCTCCATATATGGTCAAACATCCTCTTTGTTTTCACAGATAAATCAGGGTCTGGTTCACGGCGGTTCTGCTCCAACTTTCCTCCACGCCACCAACATCCCGCAGCAAAGCACCATGGGATACATTCAGCAGCCACCACAGCAGCAACGGCAGTACCAACATTCCCAGAACCAGAACCAGCCAGGCAGTGTTTCAGACTTCAGGAACATGCTGACCCGATAGCACTGAGGACTGGATCGCAGCGCCAAGGATCTGCCTCTCTGGCGCCGCTCTGTTGGCGGCGGCCAAAACCTCCTAAATCAGGGGGCGGCATCCCCGACGCCGACCCGGAACCACCCGCAGGATCCGAAGACAATCTGAGGGGTCGGGTCTCTGTTGGGGCCAAAAGGGCTGCAGTGGGTGGACAATCAGAGCCGTGACCCGGACCTGTGGAGGTTTCCTTCTAGAAAGTTCTCATTCAGCTGTTTGCACTTTGACCCCAGAAGTAGAATATTTATTTATTTTGGACCTAAGATGATCCGTTTTGCTCTCAAGCTGCTCCCACCTAGAATCTCTCTGTTTAGGGCAGGTCCAACTCTGCAGAACAGAACTGTTCTGGAACCAGAGGAGCAGCGGAGCTGGACTGGACCTCAGAAACCCGGAGTCCGGACCGGGTGTCAGCCCGCAGAGAGGCGGAGGGATCGTGCCTTCAACTATAAAGACGGCTTTAAAATCCAGCTCAGGTCCGTTTGGATCATCAGAGGTTTATTTTCATAAGAGAGAAGATTGTTCTGAAAACAGGAAACGTGTAGATTTTCTCCTGCAGACGTTCTTCCTGGTTACAGTTCCCGGCTAATCGCTGCAAGAGCATCGTTCCGACTGAAATGTGGAAAAAAAACCTTAAAATGAAATCAAGCTGCAAATAATGATTATTCTGATCATTGGTTATTGATCGAAAAGGAAAAAGAACATTTATGTTAGAATTTAAACTAGCTAAAACAAAATATTCCCACTTGAGGATTTCTGAACAAAAACCTTTTTATCTTAAATGCAAAATGTTTTTCATTCTGGTGTAACTGCTGCTCTGAGTGGGTCCCTCTGTCAGCTGCAGTTAATGATTAATCGATTAAATCAATTGATAGGTTAGTTGACTATTATATTAAAAATCGGTTAATTTGGTTCATTGTTTGATCCTTAAAATAACCTTAAATTCAGAAGCACTTTAATGAGAAACGAACCCAAACCTTTAATTTAACCAGATACCTGAAAACCAGGAGAAACGGAGCGACACAAAAATAAAAAAAAACTTTAAAGTGGAAGAAGCTCAGCATGAGGAGTTCAACCGGTCGGAACCAGTTCTCATAAAAACAAACTAACAATGATTTTATTTTAAGGCTTTTTTCCCGAAGCTTTGAACAGATTTTGGACAGCTGTCCGTCTGACCCACAAACAACCAGATCAGATTTTATTCACTGAAAACACAGAAGTGTATTTGAAGGTTTCCATGGAAACGGGTGGCGCCCCTCCTTCCTGAGCAACACGACTTTACCTCAGAAAGTTGGAGGAGCAGAATCTGATGGGTTAGGCTGGATTACAGTGGAACCTGAGATAATCCAGAGGATGGTTAACAGATTGGGGCGAGGCGTTTTAGTCTGTCTATATGGAGACAATGTTGTTCCAGTATTATTGAGGGCAAAGAACAAAAAAGACATTTAAATAAAATGTTTTAAAATATTTTTTTAATTAAAGATAAACTTTAAAGAGTAACTCATATGTTATATGTTACAGTTTTCTAATTTTATCTTAAATATTAATTTTTCAGATTTGAAAAAAAAAATGCTATTTTTTGAGGGAAGGAGACTGAATTATTACAGTTTTCTACAGATTTCACCCTCTGCACCTCTGGGTGGTCTGAGAACACAGCAATAGAAATTAGCCACGAGAAATAAAATTTGGAAAAACGTTTGAGAAAAATAACATTGTGAAAACATAATCCAAAAAAATTAAAATCAGAAAAGAACTTCGAAATACTAACATTTGGAAAGTAAAATCATAAAAATAAAATAACTTGGGGGGGAAAAACAAAACAAAATTAGGATAATAAAATCTGGAAGAATATATATATCTATATATAGATGATTATATATATATATAATCTGAAAAAAATGACCAACCCTATAAAAACTCTGGCAGATCTTTTACACCTTACTAATTAATCTTTTGTCTTTTACTATTGAGAAGTGTTTTAAATGTCCATTCTTAAACATTTGCATGATGTTAACTATCACTAATAGTGGAGCAACTTTCTCCCCATAGCCTCACAAAGACAATCAGCAGAAACGCAGCGACTTTAGCCCCAAGAAAGCGCCGGCGTCTCTGAGCTCACGCTGGGTTGAGACGCAGCTTGCTCTGCGTGGACATTCAGGCCGTTTTTACACTTTTGTATGTGCAATGAGGACGGAAGGAGCCGGGTCGTTCCCGGGTCCGAACAGCTGTAGATAGAGGCGTACCGCCAGCTGGTCTTATTTATATGGAGTTATTTTTGTAACATTCCCAGGACTCGTCCTCTAAACGGGAGGACAGCAAGGAAGGCACGGTGCACAGGGTTTGGACCGAACCGGGCCGTGAAAAGAGATTAAAGCAGGAAGCTGGATCTCAGCTGCAGTTATTCAGTCATTTAACACTTAGAGATTCTAGAAGAAAAAGTGCAATTGTGTAAAATCACAAAATTTGTTTTATTTATGTGGCTGGAGCCCCCCCACCCCCATGAAGATCCAGCTGAAGCGGTGCCATAGATGTCTGTCTTTCTGTTCTGACAAATCAGTGTTCTTTAGAATTTCATTTAAAAGGTTATAGAGTTCAGTTGTTTAATTCTGGCCAAAATCAAAAACTAAAAGGAAGCAGCACAGAAATGTTTCAGTTGAAAGAAAACCATGAACGCTGCTGACCTGAGGAAGCCAAGGCATATTGTTGGAAAGTTAAGTGGAAGGAAAAAATTTGACGGAAACAAGCAGCCTTTGGGATGATAGACGGAATCTAAAGCCTCCACACACACATTAAAAACAACTTTATTAATAATAAATCTCATGATTATGAAGCCAAATAGTTTTTCTTTTTAATCTGCTGTAAGCCATAATCCAACAATTTTCAACCTTTGATGCTCTGATGATGGTAGGAACCTCCTGTAAACATCGTAGCTAAATGTTTTAGAACATCTGCTTCTGGGGAAAACGGTTCATCCACAGATCAGAGTTTGGTTTTGTTTGCCTTTCTGTCGATTGAGGTTAAACCGGGCCGTTGGTCCCGGCCGGACAGAACCAGAATCGTTGGGTTCGTCATGATCCTGATGAAGGGTGTAAATATGAGTTTTTTAGTTGATGATGATGATGGCTGCTCCTCCTGTTCTCGACCGTTTGGGTTTATTTTTCCACGTTTGTGAGTTAGGTCACTTCTAGGTGAACTTTTCTGTTTTCCATCATCCTGAGCTTCACCTCAGCTGTCGGATCGCATCCTGAGAAACGAACAAACAGCCTGGTGTTTAGTCACCTCTGCCGTTTCAGTGCAGAAACAAACATCTAGAGAAACTGTATATTGTATCATAGAATGTGGAAAAAAGACTTTAGGATGCATAGTTGTTTATTTTATATGTGTAATAGATGATATATATGTATGTTATTACTTTTAAATTAAAGTAATTTTATAAAAGATGGACTTTCTCTGGTTTTCCTCTTTTGTACATTGAGATTGTGATATTTTCACTGAACATGAATAACAAAAAGCTTTAAAATTTTTTTAAATACTTTATTTCATTTAGTAATGTCTTGAAAATGAAAAAAAATCTGAAACTTTCCTTTAGTTTTAATCATTTTTCAGCTTCTTACCCTTTTTTGTCTTTTCATATTTTTAAGTTATTAAAGGTTGAAGGTGAAACGACACAGAAATATTTTCTGCACAAACGATTGTCACCACTGGTTTGAACCGGTTAAAGGCGGGTATGCTCCGTTGCCTTCAGAGGTCAGACACTGCTGTGCTTATGCTACGTTAGCTTCTCTGGCTACCAGGAAGGCGTCCCGACATTAAACCACCAACAGAATCCCAGGGGTCTTATTTCTATAGATCTGATTAAATCCAGATCCAAAGAATCATCTGATCAGTTAAACAGAACCCATCAGGAAGTAGGATCAAACAGTAGCAGCTGGTGGATTTTTCACTACGACTAACAAAACAGCTTTACTCATCATTAAAGATTAAATATTTATCTTGGAAAGCTAAAAAAATATATTTAGATATTTTAAAATATTTTTTTTCATGCCTAGCGCCCTGTATTGGCCAGCGGCCACTGCTTTATACCTTGTTGTCAGGGTTTATAAGTCTGAAAGGTTTCAGATGGGATGGAAAGACCGCTGCAGAGTCTGGTTACTAAGGAAATACTGTACTTATGTAGCTTCTTGACATCTGGACTTTCTCTCCTCATAAATACTTTCTACTGTGGGCCCATCCTGGCCCCCCTGGTAAATTAGGCCTAGAACCACCCCTGACTTGATCATTATGTCTATTTTCTTTTAGAACCAAATCAGAATAAGAATTTTTATCACTTATTTTTATCTATTTTATCTGCATTTTTCATTTTTATTTTCTCTCCACAGACTTTGAGAAACATCCAGCTATTTTAATTTAGAAGTTTCAGGGGAATTAAGTTTTTTATTTATTTTTTTGAGTTGAAATTTTGTCTGTACTTTTATTTATTTATTTTTTTGTTTCCTACATTGAAGGATTTGATCTCTGCCAACATTGAAAGAAAAGATTCTGTAGGTTGAAACAGTGATGGAATCTGGTGGCCAAAAATTATGAAGCCCCGGATCGTTCAGTTGTTGAGGTGGGCACTCTGCTGGTGGCAGTTTGTCACCGTGCAGCGGGACAATAATCCAAAGCAGACCCACGTTGCTGCAGACTCCGCCCACCGGAGCGATGCAGTTCGCCTCACTTTCATGGGAAGTATAAAACAGAAGCAGCGTGCGTCCCTGCAGCCAGAGAGGGTTTCTGTCTCTTTATTGTCACCTGGTTCCTCCGCCTGACAATAAACCGGAACCTTCTGAATATCCCAGAGCTTCAATCATTAAATTAAATGTCAGGAATCTGTGGATGATTAATGTTTATCAGAAGGAGCGTCCACCTAGTCCGCCGTGGCGTCCGTCACCCTGTACACCTTGTTGACCAGGACCTCCACTTCATCGGTGTCCAGCCGGCACAGGTCCAGAACGCACACCACATGTTTGTCCTCCAGCTCCTGGGCCGTGGCCAGAATCTCCTCTGCAGGAAGGAAACCAGACTGTAACACTAAAGGCCTGAGATGCCGGGTCGGTCCGGTTCTGATGTAGCTACCTGACTCACGGAGTGTTAATCCTCGGCCTCTGGTGGCGCCGCCGAGGGGGCAGAGGAGACCCGTCGACAGGCAGGACAGCATGGAGTTGTCATGGGGATCCTGGCAGCGGCCGACGGCCCGCGGGTCGTCGGAGCAGACCACAGGGAGGAACGCTGCGTCTATGGCGATCTGCTGGTTGATCCCTGACAGAAAGTCCAGAACAGCTCCATCAGAAGCAGGATTACAGGCAAAAAAGCATGAGACTGGTTCCTGGTTCAGGTCATCCAACAGAACCTGACCCGGTTTGATGGTTCCAACACAGCAGGAACCAGAGCTTTACCCAGTATGGTGAGCTGGAGGTGACCCGGGCAGGGCTGGGGGGGCAGGGGGGCGGCGGCCTCTGGGCTCCAGCGGCTCGGCTGCAGGTTGCACCACTGCAGGAGGCCGTTCTTCTGGTCGGAGGAGAACCTGCGGGAGGCGCTGCTCTGGTGGGCGCCGCCTTCACTCAGATGCTCAGAAAGTCGCCTTCGCTGCTCCGACCACCTGCTGCTCTCCCAGGAGAGGGGGGCTGGTTCTAGCGGGGGGGACATGTGTTACAGCAGCAAACACGCAGCAGCGAAGCTAAGGACAGGAGAGACCACTCACCCCGAGCCTCCTCCTCCTCCCTCTCTCCTGGTGGGGTTTGGTGCTCCGGCCTGGCGAGCAGAGACAGACGAGCAGAACCGGGTCAAACATTCATCCTACGGATCAAAACCTCACAGTCGGAGTTTAATCACCTTTCAGTCGAACTGCTGCGTCGTTAAAGGGAAGAAAAGATGTTTAGGATTGTTGGTCAGAACTCGGCTCACAAACATTAAACAGGAATAAAAACCAAAGCTGAACTGAATCCTCCTTTTCTTTGGGTCGGCTCGCCGCCGGTCGGTGGAGGGGGACGCTGGCGGGTCGTCATCAGGAACCTGGACAAACCAGAAGCTTTCATGTCTCCGTTTGTCAGTGGAGATAAAACAGGCGGTGGGACTAAAGTCTGGTACCGGTGGGGCCCGGCAGGTCGTCTCTAGGTGGCGCACTGCTGCGATCTGGCCCTGAAGGGCCACCGTCTTATGCTCCCTGTACTGCAGGCTCTCTAGCTCCCTCTTCAGGTCAGACGCAGCAATCAAAGGAATTTGTCCTGGAAGTTAAAGCAAAGATAGAACCCAGAGTCTGCAGACAGAACCTGTTAAACGTTAAACCAGAACAAGAACCTGGAGAGTCCGCTGCTGATTGGACGAATCTCTGAGGGGGGGGCGGGTAGCAGTAGTGGCCCCCGACGGCGCTTTTCTGGAGGATCATGTTGTCCTTCAGGGTTTTGGTCCACTGAATGAAGCTCTTCACTCTGGGGTCGCTCACATACGGCCGTCCTTTGTGGTGCCCTGGTACAGACGCACAGAACCCCCGCCCCCCCTGGTCAGTCCAGTTCTGTTGGGGGTTAATGGACCGCTGCTGCAGCTGCACCCACCTGTGATGAAGATCTCCGTCTCACAGCTGCTGGTGAGGTACGGCGGGGAGTCCTCCACCTGACAGAGCCTCACCTGGGTGCACACCAGGTAGGTCACTATGGAAACAGTGGAGGGCGGGTCATTTAGTCATTAACCCAACTAAACATACATCTTCATTTCATTACGGACTCAGTTTTTAGGTCTGGACTTTGACTAGGACACTGTGGTTGTTTATGGTCAGAAGGTGAACCTCAGTCCCCCTGAGCAGCTCCTGGACTCCTCTGAAGAAAAGTACCTCCACTGTATGATTCTACCACCACCGTGTCCCACAGTGAACACGTGTCCTAACAGGCTTTATAGGGGCATGAAGAAAGCCATTTGTCTTAAACGAGAAAAACCGACCTTGAACAGAGGGGGTGGACTCAGATTTCAGCTTTCAAAAAGCAGCAAGTGAGTTGATCCCTTCCTGCTATCATCTTAACCCCTTTACAGGGAAGAAGTACACCTCCGTTTAATGACCCCCCCTTTCATGGGGCATTACAGGATAACAATGAAATTAATCAATCAGAGAAGAGAGGGTTGGAAAGGAACGACAGGACGACTCACTTGGACAGATCTGGTTGAAGATTTCAGGTTGGGATGAGGAAAAGAGCTCCAGGATGAAAGGCTGATTGGATGTTCCGTCCACAGCGTGGACCCAGCGGTACGTCCAGAACCGTTCTGGACCTAAAATGTGGACATCAGAACCATGAAGACCCGAAACTTTAGCTGTGACGACGATAAGAGATGATCTCTCACCTTTGTTTCCTTTACTTCTGACTCTTTCAACGCGACCGACGAACGTGACCAAACCGATGACATCACAAGCGGCACCAGCAGGGAGCCTGTCCAGTTCTGACCTGTAAGGACCATGAGAAACCAGGAACCGTTGAGAACGACTATCACTCCAAACCGGGGGATTGAGGTTTCGGTAAAAAGCGACCTGCTGGTGAACCTGTAGGCCGCCTCCGGCAGCCCCCACTGCGGTGGGACGGCCTTCTGGGAGACCACGGTGATGACGGCCGCGGGGTTACGAGGGTTCAGACAGATTTCTGGGAGGTAAAAAAACGTTTAAAGGAGAGAAAAAGATTCTGATCCAATACATGAAGAAAAGACAGACTGATTCTGTGATGCTGCGGAGCCCGTACCCACAGAGGAGAAGTTTCTCAGCCTGTGGTGGTCCATCTGGGGGCGGGACCTGTTGGAATAGCTCTGCTTCAGGCTGTAGTTCTGCAGGTAGAGCACGGAGCCCACCGTCATCCTCTGGTAGAACTCCAGACAGAGCTCGTTCCACAGCACCAGAGACATGCAGCCGCTCTGATCGGCCACTTCGAAGTAAGCCTGAGGAGCAGAATGAGCAGAGAACATCAGGACTAGCAGGAGGAGCAGAGTTTGGTTATCAATGAGCTGCTGAGTCTAAAAGAAGCAGACTTTGGATAAAAACCAAAAGGACTCAATGAACTCAGTCCCAATCTGAAAACTATGAAGTTTATGTCAAATATTAAAGCTGTTCCGATTCCCTTTTATTTATACTTATTGATTTATTTAAGACTCGCTGACATAACTCTGTCTGGATGTATGAATCTCTGTTTGATTTCTTGATCAGTTTTTTTTCCGTTTCATTTCGGTTTGATTTTAAATCAATGACTTATGGCTGAATTAAAGCTCCTTTTCACAACTGATGAGGAAATAAAAGCCTTATTTAAACAACAGAGCTCACCTGGTAGGGGTAATCAATCCTCTGCCCAAACTTCCCATAATACCTCAGCCTGGATTTGTGGATTATCTTCACCAGGATAGGAAGAGGTTTCCAAGAGCCTCTGAAGGACGACTCCAGAGTGCTAAGAAGAGCCACCTTGGACACTGAAAGACGGATATTAGAACCATCAGGATTTTCTTTAATCAAAACATCCTAAGCAAGGACAGAGCTCGGATATAAATTCGCTTTTAAACATGTAATCAGGCAAACAATGACACCATGGCTTCTATGCAGCGGATCGCCAGGGTTCAGCAACGGGTCGGGGAGGGGTTTTTTGTAAAAATAATTTATAGCGGTTCATAACTGGAATCAGCAGGTCCAATTTTTATTTATAAAAGCAGAAATCATTTTGCATTATTTATGTTTTTTAACCAAATTTACAGAGCTGCAAATATTTTACAAATCAAATAATCTGAGGATTCATTTGGATTAGATTTATTCATCTAAAAAGATATGCTCTAATTAAATCAACATACCTCAATAAACAAGTGCTTGAACTAAAACAATATTTACTCTAGAGCTAACAGTTTTCCCAAAAAATCCCTTTGCAATGAATTTGAAGCAATATTGCGATTTAATTTTTATTTATTCCGAGCTTGTAGAAGTTTCAGCCGAGGCTTTCTGTTTTTGAAAGCTTGCTTGCATGGAATCAATTGCAGATTTTACTGTAGCTTTTACATGAAAAAGTTTTTAAAACTGCTGCATGCATGGATCTAGCCTTCTGTGTGAGGAAAAACCTGCTTTAAGCATTTTACTGTGTCCCAAAGGGCTGGAGTGAAACATTTAGTGTCATACTCTTGTATGTTTATGTTTATAATCGATTAATTTGATTAAATGTTTCAGCCCCGATAATGTGTTTTAAACTTCTCTAATTTCTCACGCTCAGATGTTTTTATTTTGTTCCAATACAACAAAAACAATAAAGTGATGTGATCTGGTAAAGTTGATTGATTGATTGACTTTATTGATCTCACAGTGGAGAAATGTACTTGTTACATTAGCTCAAATAGTCAAAGGAGAAGAAGGTGCATAGGCTATATATAGTTTATCATTGCTAGTTTAGATGATTTTTTGGGTTTAAATAAATTAAAATAATTTAAAATAAATATATTTAGATATAGTTAAAATGATCTAAATGTAAATTATATAAATGTGAGAAATCTAAAATAGTTTTAATTACTTTAAAGTTCCAGAACGTTTAAAGGGAATAAAAACAACTTTCTTTTCATAAATTCTTCTTAGCTTTTTTTAAGGAGGTCCAGTTCTGGGTCAGAACTCACCGTCCAGCACCGGTTCTGCCGCAGCCTGAGCCGGGCTCCACATGTCCCCCTCCGGGTCGTCGTTGTTCCAGAGGGGCAGGTAGTGTTTCCGGCTCACCTGGAGGGGCGTGTCCCCCTGCAGGTCCGCGCTCCGCTCCATACCCTGTTTGACCAGCAGGGGGAGCGAGCTGACGTCTGAGATGCGGGGCAGAACCGCGGACGGTTCTGCGATGCATTCCACCTTCTCCACACAAATAAAACCATGACCCAATCTCCTCTCATTGTAAACAAAGGAGCACTGCCTGATGTTGACGTCACTCCCAGTCCTCAGGGCGTTTCTGTGCACCAACTGGTTCAGACTGGGATGGAGGAAGCATTTGGCTCTCCAGACTCCGTCAGTGATCGTCACATCGTAGCTGTCCAACTGCTGCTCCTGGTTCTGACCGTCGGTGGGTTCGGACAGGTACCGCCGAAGGGCCACGATAGCAACGGGATCCGCTTCCTCAGCGGAGAGTTTCAGGCTCTGAGTGGAAGATAATCGCCCCAACGTCCTCTGAAGGAAAGAGTCCTGAGCCACCAACGAAGAAGAGGCGCTCTCCATCCCTGACAGTTAGCTTAATAACTCATGTTAGCTCGTTTACCTCGATGCATTTCACTAAAAAGAAAAGCTATTCATCCCAACTGACGAATTATCACAAATTTGTTTATAATTAGTACTTTGCACTGCTAAAATACAGAACACTTATTTTGGAGCAAACAGTTCAAAGTCAGGAACGCTCCGCTAACTGAGGTAACCGAAAGCTAACCTCACAAACAGTTTGGAGCTCTTTGATGACGTCATAATCTTCATAACAGAAACCCAACCACAGTTAAAAAACAAATCATTTCCCCGCATCAAAGTACTTCACCCACATCGACATAAAAACGGTGTAAACAGGAGACTGCTGTTTTAAAATCCGCGCTAAACCAGTGCGCAAGAGCACTTTGGTGACGTATTCAATGCGACGTATGGGGTACGGCAGGCAATTGTAACATTTAATAAAACCTCATTTTATAATTGTACAAAATAATTACTACCTCACTTTATAATTGAACAAAAATAATTACTTTTGTGTCAATGTAAAGATAACTCACAAAACAATATGAGCAGAAGCAAATTTCCTTGTGTCCAGTGTTCTAGGAAAATGTTTTTAAAAATATTTTGTTGTTTTTATTTGTTGGTATCTTTTAAGTCCATTGATAAGGCTCTATTGATAATTACAGAAGAAGAGTGAGGTTCTATGCATTTTTCTAAAAAATATTTAAATGAGTGTTATA